CCCTGGAGATGTACTTGACGTTTTTATCTAGTTATAGATATATCTATATAATAAGCATGTATATACACATGCATGTATAAGTGTATGTATGCACATATATGTACATATATGTATATAAATACATGTGTGTGTATGTATACATATATTTATATAAGAAATCTGGAGGATAGATGCCACAGTGAATAGAGCACTGGGCCTAGAATCAGGAAGACCTGAGTTCAGATCTGACCTCAGACACCTACTATCTGTGTAACCATGGGCAAGTCACTTAACCCTGGCTGTCTTAGTTTCCTCATCTATAAAATGAGCTGGAGAAGGAAATGGCAAGCCACTGCAGTTTCTTTGCCAAGTAAACCCCAAATAGGGTCACAAGAAGTCAGATGTGACCAAAACAATTTAACAAAAACAAAATATTTTAAATCTCTTTTAAATCTCCCTCTGCTCCATCTAATCAGGTCCTGCACCATTAATTTCCTCATGATTTCCATACTGCAGGCTGCGTTTGAGTTGGATAATAGTGAATCATTCCCAGGTCCCAGTATCCTGAGCTCCAACTATCCTTGTATTCTTACACCCTTTATAGTGCTCCCAAATCAGATGTTGATGTACTTTTTCACATATTTGAAATTTTTTCCCTCTAAATTTTAATTCTTTCAATTGAAAGGAAGAACATCTGTTTCCCAAAGGATTGGTAACTTCAATAAGAGCTGCAGCTCATTTCTTTTGGTTGAGAGTTATTTCTCATAGTGCCCATTTTCTCAGCTCTTCTCCAGTTTGGACACTGCAATCACACAGGGTTGAATTTCATTGTGTCACTCTTTCCATTTGCTTTGTTACATATATTGTTTTCTTTGTCCTTCTTACTTCGCTCTTTACCAGTTCTTGTCTCTCTTTGTTACGTATATTTGCTTGTTACGTATATTGTTTTCCTGGTTCTTCTTACTTTACTCTTTATCTGTTCTTATCTCCATATGTTTCTCTGAATTATTCACATTCATTGTTTATTATGGGACAGAAATATTCCATTTTAATTCATGTGCCACAATCTGTTTAGCCATTTTCCAATGGAAGGGAATCTTTATTTCCGGGTCTTTGTTATGTGCTGCTCTGGGTATTTTGATATATTTAGAAACTTTCTTTCTGTTTCTGACCTTCTTGGGATAGATTTCTAGTAGTAGGGATATGGACTCATTTATGAACTTATTAACTTTTTGAAATTTAATTCCAAGTTCCTGTCCAGAGCGGGCATCCACCTTTCCACTACTCCTCCAACATCATTTCCGCTTTTTCAATCTGATAGGTGTAAGGGAGGACTAAGTCCCGAGTTGTTTTGATTGTGTTACTGGTGATTTGGAGCCATTTTTCATATGGTTGGTACTGGTTAGCAATTTCTCTTTGGAGAATTGTTTGTTTCCTTCTACTACCTTCCCACTACAGAGTGGTAGCACCTCATATTTTCAAAGTTCGCCTCACTACCCTGTGAAGTTGGCAGTGTAAATATCAGCACATTCTACAGATGGTCTTCTGACCCCAGGTCCTATGCCCCTTCTACTACATGACACTGGCCTTACCTTATGCCATTCTTTATATTTCTTCTGCCGTCCTTGGACATTTAATATCCCACTTCCCATATCCTGTGAAGTGTTCTGTTGCTGAAGAGACCTTAGGTATTTTGCATTGAAGGACATCTTTAACAAAATATTGGTTGAAGCAGCTGGGTGGCATGGTGAATAGAAGCCTAGACCTGGACTCAGGAGCACCTGAGATCAAATCCTACTTCAGATACTTCCTAACTGTGTGACCCTGGGCATGTCATTTAACTCCTATCTGCCTCAGTTTCCTCATCTGAAAAAATGCAGATGTTAATAGCACCTACTTCCCAGAGTTGCTGTGAGGATCAGCCCCACCTTCTTACAGGAAGCCTTCCCCAAGCCTTCTTTATTCCAGTGTCTTCCCTCTTTTAATTATTTCCTGTTTATCCTGCATATTGCTCATATTATATATTTGTTTGCATGGGTCTGCCCCATTGGACTGTAAGCTCCTTGAGGGCAGGGACTGCCTTTTGACCCTTTTTATATCCCCAGTGCTTAGCACAGTGCCTAGAACATAGTAGGCACTTAATAAATGTTTGTTGATTGATTACTGAGTGATTGGAATATGTTAGTACTGCTAAAGTGCTCTACAAATACTAGCTGTCATTGAAGTCTTATGGGACAGATTTCTAAGCTGAGTTCTGATGTCACCATCTCAGTTTGCTGGGATTCTGACCTCTAGATTTCACAGTCCAGCCCAGCACATGCCAGACCTGTCTGGTACATAGTAGCTTTGCCAGTGTTTTCCAGCCTTTTCTGACAGAAATCTCAAGGCCTTTAGATGAAAGCATGGCTATTCCTAACGAAGATTTTGGGGACTCAAATCTAGTTCAACTCTTTCATTTCACAGATGAGGGAGTTGAGACTCAGAGAGCTCAGACTGCTTGCCCAAGGTCAGCCAAGTACTAAATGGCAGAGCCTGTATCCAAACCCAAGTCCTCCACCTCTTAATTCCTCTTTCTTTTCCCCAAATTCTTTGACCTTCTCTCCTGTTACGGTTCTTTCCTCAGATCTAGCACCTAGAACTGACCAGATGTAAATGATGTGACCTGCACAGAGAACAGGGAGATGGCGACCTCCTTGATCCCAGATACTTTGCCTCTCTTATTAATGCTGCTGCAAATTGTATTCATTTTCTGGACTGCCACAGAAAACTATTGATTCACAGTCAGCTTGCTCTATGTTAAAATGATTGCACGGTTCACTTTGAACAGTGAAATCAAACCTTGAAAAAATGCTGGATGGTCTAAAACCCAATTCCATGTTTCATTGTTCTGGATAATGGCATTTTGTTCTTGGCCAAATCATCTTTTAGATTGTATGTATTCTGAAGTTGGACAGATGATCAGGGGCTGAGTATCTGGAGAAGGCTGAGATTTGGTTAATAATTGCCATCTCAACCTTCTCAGCCTCCGATCCTTCCTTGAAATTTTATTAATTTAATTTTTAAAATTACATTAAAATTTTTTCCAATTAAAATTTTATTTGCTCTCCTTCCAACGAAGAAAGAAAAACAAAACCCTTGAAACAGATATGTATTGTCAAGCAAAGCAAATTCCTACATTGTCCATGTCCAAAAAACATCTGGTGCAGTCTTCCCATCTTTCTGTCAGGAGGTTAAGTGACACTCAACCACTGGTCTTCCCCAATCCCAGAGTGATCACTGGGTCAATCTTTAGGCTTTCTTTAATGAAAAGATAAGAATGATTTGTAATCAGCATAGCAAGTGTCGGAGTGCAAATAGGTTTCTAGAACTTAGTTTTTCCTCTGTAGTAGTTTAACACCCCCCTCCCCCTTGCAACCTAAAACATACTAATAAATTCACTTATCTTGGTAGTGTACTTTCCAGGGATGCACACATTGATAATGAGGTTGACACATGCATTGCCAGAGTTAGCTCAGTGTTTGGGAGGCTCCAAAGGAAAGTATGGGAGAGAAGGTATGAGACTGATTACCAAACTGAAGGTCTACAGAGCTATTGTACTGACCTTATTGTTGTGTGCCTGTGAAACCTGGACAGTCTACTGGCACCATGCCAGGAAACTGAATTGCTTCCATTTGAATTGTTTTAGGAAGACTTTGAAGATCACCTGGAAGGATGAGATGTCAGACACTGAGGTCTTTTCTCAGTGTCTCAGAGTGCAATTCTGCTGGGCTGGCCACATTGAATACAAAATGTACATTTGCCAAAGAGACTATTTTATGGAGAACTTACACAGGGCAAGCGTTCACATTGTGGTCAGAAGAAGTGATACAAGGACACTCTCAAGGTCTCTCTTAAGAACTTTGCAATTTATTGTGTGACATGGGAGACACTGGCACAGGACTGCTCAGCATGGCATGCCCACATCAGAGAAGGTGCTGGCTCTATAAGCAAAGCAGAATTGAAATAGCTCAAGAGAAACACAAGATGTACAAACTTAGAGAATCTACCGCACATGTTCATGTGGACTATTTGTGCTTGACCAGTGGTCAAACATTCCAAGCTCATACTGGCTTGATCAGCCCCAGTTGGACACACTAAAACTTGACTCTAGCATAATGATGTCATTTCTTCAAAAGTGAAGGCCAACAAACACCCAGTGAGAAGGTAATCTTCAGTTGAGTTCTTAATGCTCAAATTCAAACATCTGGAGGGTGAGAGACACAGACACAGAGCAGACAGAGAGAAAGACACAGACAGAGACAGAGACTCGATGGGCAATAGGATTCATGCTGGACCCCTAAAAGGACCCCAAAGCCCTTGAACTAAGTTGCTGGTGTTTGCCTGAAGCACCTGGCCCATCCCAGTATAATCTTTTTAACTGTCCTTTCATTGCGGCCCTAATTATCTGCACCTGGCCCCACCCCAGACTATTTCACCACTCCTTAATTCTATCTAGACCCCTTCTCTGTTGCCTCCTAGTCATCCCAAGCTATTGGCCACTCCTTAATCACATCCAGATCTTCCCACAATCTTTCTGTATATAAGGGTCCATCTTGCCCTCATTGCTCAGATTCCTTAGGAATATGGCCCATAAGCGTCACAATGAGTGGATTCTTAAAATCTCATGCAGGCCAACTGGTATTTTAATAAAGCTTATCTCTGACTGAAAGAAGGCTTGAATTGAATTCTTTCAAGGCAGAACTTTTGCCTTTTGCCCCTGATTTTTGGGTTCTTAGCACCCCTAGACCACAACAGAGAGAGAGAGAGAGAGAGAGAGAGAGAGAGAGAGAGAGAGTTCTTCTAAGGCCCATACTATTGGTAGCAACTAGAAGCAGCTAAAGATAATAAAGATAATAAAACTGGCTGTGAAAAGTACACAGGAGTCCCAAAGTGTCATAGTGAGGTCATCTAGTCTGATTATGACCTGAACAAGGACACATCCTATAAGCCACCAATGAGTCTTCACCTCTCATTGGCTTGGAAACCTCCAGAGCACAGAAGGAGCTCCCTCCTGAGAACAGCCCATTCATTCCTCTTTGGGGTAGGTTTGCCTGTTAGGAGGCTTTTCCTATCATGAAGCTTACATTTGCCTCTTTACATCTTCCATCCATCTCTCCCTTCTAATCGCTGATCTCTCACCATTTTGTCTCGGGCCAGTCTTTCTTGGCACTTATACAGTTCAGAGAAATGGTATCAGGGACACAGTTGAAATGCACAGAAAATCTTGGCCACAATGTGGCCACAATGACAAGTCAGGTGATAAAAATGTTTCTGAGTTCCACATCATATATGGGTGAAGTGACTTGTTAGCCAAGGGAAGTGGTTGGCAGTGGGAGCTGCCACGGTGCCACCAGCATCACAAAGTGGGTGGTAAATGTCAGCAAGATTTATCTTCAAGAAAAGGAGCCCTTTGAAAATGTGTGGCAGCAACTTGATAGGCCAGCTCCAGGACTAATTAGGCTGACAGTGGGGAAGAAAAAATAAACCCCAGGTGGGCTTCTGGAACACGGCGTCAATGAAAATGCCTGGCTGTTTGCCTTCTAGTCATTTAAAATGTTGAGTGCTTTACTAATAGTGTTTAAAAGCCAGGAAGATTCTGTTTTATTTTTTTTCTTACACGTTGCTTTGCAAAGAAAACAGAATCCTTTAGTTTTCAGTTAGGTGTCTGCAGAAATAGCTGAGACTCTGTGCTGTTGATGTCACTGATGCTGAGGTAGACATTTGTTCCTGTGAATTGCTGGATGTGAACATTCCGAAGCGACTTGGGACTCCTTCTCTGCACACATTACCTTGCTTTGGATGAGGCGAGTCTTCCATGCATTCTTTATTGGTGTAGTCAGAGCTGATGGGACCTGGCCAGACTGGGAGATCTGGAATGCCAGAAGAACATCCTTGGCAATTAGTTTGAGGGAAGACTAGATAGTCACTCATCTGGATAAAGGCAGCATCCAGGCTACGGCACACACCTGTGACTAGGGAACCTTTCCTGGGAACTGGGCTACTAGCATAAATCATCTCAACAGAGGTGGGCTACTCCAGGTGCTGGGATAGGATTGGCCACATTATTTTATGGCAGCGGTGGGCAAATGGGGATTTTGAGGGGGGACAACAGAAGTTGCTGCATCAGTTGTCTGAAGCGTGACTTTGAACTCTAGTTGACTCTTACACTACTATTTTGAGTTTCAATTTCCCAGTCTCTCGAAAGAGGATAACGATGCTGGCAGTTCCTGCCTGTTGGGGCTGTTGTGAGGAAAGTGCACCCAATCGTCCCGTTCAGTGGGTCTGATAGAGCCGCCAAGTCTGGGAACCTACTCTCTCAATTGAAGAATGAGAAGCACACTTAGAGGAGAAACTTGGGGCAGGCACAAGCCAAAACATTGATGTTCCAAATCCTGCCTCCAGCTCTTGGGCAAGTTAATAGTGCAAATGAACCTTATGTTGGTTAAATTCTGCCAAGAGGGTATGCCTACCCACTCACCCTGTCCAGTACTAGCCACACAATTGCAGTTGTACAGTCTTGCCAACCTCCTTACCCCAGCACCGCCACCCAGAACTGTGACCCAGATCCACACACGGGCAAAGCAAGAGATTCCTGCCTCAGCACTGGCAAAGAGATCCCTGCAATCACTCTCTGATCAGCCACTGGATTCCTCCTCAGTCTATGGGCCGGAATCTCAGGAAGCAGCTGCCCTCCTCAGGGTCATGCTCTTGGGGAATGGAGCTGACACCCTGCCTTCCTGTCTCAGCACCTCAGAAACAGACTTTTCCCACCGACCTTGTAAGTTGTCTTTGGCATTAGTGGATTGAGGAGTCTGGAAAACTCCACAGCTGCCCGAGATTCAGTCCTCTGAGGCCTGCTCCAGGTTCCTTGCGGCCTGTGTGCCCACGCCATGCTGTGCTGTGCTGAGCTCCCAGCCCGGCCCGATATACCTTTCTGATCAACCATCCAGGTTGTCTTGGGCTGGAAATTTGTTTCATTCTGTCTTTTTGTGGGTTCTGCTGCTTCAGAATTTGTTTAGAGCCATTTTTTATTGAGTATTTGGAGGGGTTTGGAGGAGAGCTCAAGCAAGTCACTGCTTTCACTCCGCCACCTAGTTGTGTGACCATGGGCAAGTCATTCACCCTCTGTGCTCCTCGGGTATGTCATCAGGTACTCAGGTAGTCTAGGCAATGGAAAGCTTTGTCCTATCAATGATAAAATGATCTAATTGTTCATCAAAACGAGGCCAGTACTCTAGATAACGAAGACAATTTCTGGTTTATGAATAGGGCACTGGATGTGGAGTCAGGAAGATCTGTTTTCAAACCTGCCTTAGATCCTTAAGAGCTGTATGACCCTGGGCAAGTCCCTTAACTCCCTTGTGCTTCTGTTTCCTAGTTTGTAAAAGGAAAGGGTTGGACTAGCTGACCCCTGAGGTTCCTTCTCTTCTACATCCATCGTCTTCTCTATGAACTTGAGAACTCTTCTTTCCTCCTGGGACCATCAGTCCTTTTCTTTTTCTTTAGCCATCACAGAGGCTTACTTTCTTACCTTTGCCATAGAGTTACTTTGGCCTTTAAGCTTATAGGAAGCCAGCCCACTGTTACATGAGAATGTGGTGTGGTAGGTAGAATGAAGTCGGGAAGACCTGGGCTCCAGTCTAGCTATAGGACTACGGGCAAGTGCCATCCTTTCTGAGCCTCAGTTTCCTCATGTGCAAAATGAGGTCCATGCTATAGGTAGGAGCACCTGGAAGAGTTGTCTGTGGTGAGGCTCAAACCAAATGGTGTATGGAAAACACTATTATTTATCTTGTTCATTTAACACGTGTGGTCCTGACTGGTAACTTCTTCAGCCTAGCTTGAGTGGAACCATCCATCACTGATAAAAGTAAGCAACTCATCTGCCACTTAGAGCCTTAGAGAATCTCCTAAAAGTACAAAGAGGTTAAGTGATGAATCCAGGGTCACACAGCCAGGATGTGTCAGAGAAGATTCGAACACAGGTCTTCCTATGTCTGGCACATGCTAGCTGAGGACTACGAGCAGTGCGTTTAACCTTTCTACTCCAAGCCTCACTATCTATCCTCCATATTCTTCTGCCTCTCAGTAAATACCATCTAAATTTAAAATCTCCACACGATGTTGTTCTTCCATAGAATACAGTTACTAGCACTGGAGTGAATGCAGAGACTCTTGAGTTTGGTCCTTCCCAAGAAAACACTAGTCATTGGGAGAAACCAATTTGTGGAAAGAAAGTGAATCCTTCCAGGGAATTGTGGCGCCGTTGTTGTTATTATTGTTGTTGGGTCATGTCTGACTCTTCATGACCTCATTTGGGGTTTTCTTGGTAAAGATGCTGGAGTGGTTTGCCATTTCCTTCTCCAGCTCATTTTATAATTGAGGAAACTGAGGCAAACAGGGTGAAGTGACTTGCCCACAGTCACACAGCTAGTAAGTGTCTGAGGCTGGATGTGAACTCAGGCAGATGAGTCTTCCTGACTCCAGGCCTGGTGCTTTGTGCACTATGGTGCCACCTGGCTACCCTGTGGCACCATTTAAAGACACCTACAATAACATCCTGAGAGAGTAAAACCCAGTTTATTGGTCATACTGGGTGTATGTCTGGATATTGCTGAACCTGTATTACGACTGTGTTCTGGAGATCCCCTATGCTTTCACTCTCCAGCTTTACAGGCTACTGATGCCCCCCCAGCCCTGAGGCCTGTTTCTAGGCTCTCATTCCCAAATCTTTGCACCACCCTGATTCCTCCATTGGTAAGACAAAGTTTTCTATTGCTTAGGCAATGTAAGGGAAAACTGTAGAAGACTGGAAACAGAATGGACCCAGTAATTTAACTGAGACCCAGAGCGGCTGAATAACTTGTCCAGGGTCACGAAGCTAGGGCAAGGACTGTGGATGGTGCTTTTTCTAATAATGAGATGCTCTAGGGAAAATTGGGTCCTCCTAATCTGGGTTTGGTCACAGAGCCAGCCTAGACGTCAGTGCCTTCTGCAGAATGGCCCTGGGGCACTTGTGGGGAGCTTGGAGAAGGGACGCAAAAAGGGCCCCTGGTCCTTCAGAATTCATCACAGAGGGTGCCTCAGGTGGTCTGAACAATGGCTCTTTTTCAGAATGTTCTGGAGTTCAACCTCCTACCCTTGAGGGAATCCCAGGCAATTCCGGGACTCAGAGTTGGGAGGGACTTGGAGATTATACTACTGGACCCCATCATCTTGGAGATAAGGAAACTGGGCCAGAGAAGTGAGGCCATTTGCCTCAGGTCATGCAGGTAGCAAACAGGTAGGATTCAGACCCAGATCTCCACTGATTCCTGATCAAATGATATTTACTGAAAATTCTGAACGTTTTTACTGAAAATCCTGAAAGCCCGCCCACAGGCTTTGCAAACTATATCAGCTCCTACTGTAGCTGCTGGTGGGTACGTGGAAAAGTCAATATTTGAGCACCCCAGAGCCCAAGACTGGTGGGCCTACCGTTCGGGAGGGTGCTAGGCCCTTTGGGGCTTGGGCAAAAGAGTTGAGCCAAGGGCAGACCCAAAGTACCTATTGTAACGTAATCTTTGGCAGTTTTACTCTAAGTCAGTCCCTCAGAAGTGGGAAGTACCCGTGGATGAAGAGGTTGGTTCTCGAGCTTTCCTAGGGTTTCGGATTATTCAGGGGTGGGTTTTTTGGGAGGGTCTTTGTTGAGAAGGCCCTCCTCGGGACCTTCTGTCCCCATCCTTTATTCTTTTCCGCCGGTGGAGAAGGACAAAAGATGAGTGAATAGACACAGTGAACCTTCCATTTCTTTAACCTTTTGGGTAGAGCAATGGACCAAGTTGGGAGGGAACTCCACAGAGCAGCTACCCAAGAATCAAGTCTGATTTGTTCCCAGCCACTGGAGCCATTGACCTCAGGGTGGCCCAAGGATATCAGAACTGGAGGCAATGGGCATGTCAGCAATGATTTCCTGTTGGCTTCTGAGTCCAGCTGCAGGCTTCCACAAATAGCCTGTGGCATTTTTCTTTGTGTTTTCCTGCTGGCAAAATCCACAGACCT